AAATTATATACATGCACACCATCCACTATTTTGTGGTGAGCGTTACCGCCACACGAGCGTTCGCCCAGTGAAACAGAATAGGACGTTATAATTATTTACACAGATGGAGGTCGCTTCACATGCGAGATTCGCTGAAACTGGTTCTATGCTCTGGATGGCCAATCTAGCCAGTTCCTCGCACAGAAGAGTTTTTGAATATAAATATCTTGGCCTCCTTTTCACGCCTGATTTATCTTGGTCTAAGCACATTGATACGACATGTAACAAATCTCTTAAAAGACTTGGATACCTGCGGCGTACCTTACGTGTGGCACCACAAGATACTAAGCTTTTAACTTATAAAACTTTGATTCGCCCAATCCTCGAATATGGTTCTATTATTTGGTTTCCCTACAAAGAGTCCGATATAAAAAAGGTCGAATCAGTACAAAAGAAATCGGTACGTTTTATTTGTCGTCGGTATGACAGAAACTTTTCTCCTTCTTCTAATCTTTCCGTGTTAGGTCTAAGACTTCTTTCTGAGCGTCGTGGTATCGAGCGCCTAAAGTCTCTGTATTTCATGGTTAACTCATCACGTTTTGACTCGTTACATAACTACATAAAGTTTCTCGAGCCAACTGCAACTAGGAGCCACCATGAATTAAACATTTTACCTTTTCATCCTCGTACTGATATGTTTAAATACAGTTTTTTTCCTCACACCATTGAACGCTGGAATTTATTACCAGGAAACATCCGATCACTACAACCAGATGAATTTCTGTGTGCCGTTGACAGTGGTCCACAGTGATGTCCGGACCGTCTGTGTTTACCTCCCACTCCTGCCATAGCCCCAGTGGGGCTGCAGTATGTATAAATAAATAAATAAATAAATTTCGAAAGCACAAACTCGCGCTTATCGCCATGAGCATATGAACGCAAATTCACCTAGAACAGCCACGAGTTTAATAAAAACTCAAACAGGATCTGGATTTCTCTCGTCACAATGTCTGAGGCAGTTTCGCGTTACGTGGTGTATTGTAATCCCTCAGGTACCCCGAGACAGACGCCAACGCTGGGCTAACCAGAGACGGCGCACGGCGGGTGGCCAAGAGTAACCCCAAGAATGTCCTAAGGGCGCGGCAGCGTTAGCCTGAGCACCAACCGCCCTGAGCGGCAGAGAGGAGACGGCAACGGGCCCGATATATATGCAGCGTCGCGCCGAACGGGAAGACAGGCAGCAGAGGGCGGCTGAAGCCACGCCGCCGCTGCCTTGGGGCTCGAGACAGACGCTTTAGGCGCGCTATTTTTAAAGCCAGGGCCCGCGCCCCAGACAGACACCCGCGCGGCTGCATATGCGAGCACCAAATGAAGGGAAACGGCGCCGGGGTGCCGCTCGCTCTTGCGCCGCTGCGGGGAGAACTGCGTCGGTCGGCGACAAATACGAGCACGTGCCAAGAGGCAGTCGGACACAATGTAACCGCGATGCTAGGAGCTGTTTAGAGGCCTCCTAACTAGCAGCGGGGCGGGGGAACCAAGAACGAGCTAGGGAAACGCCCGTTGCCAACAAGAAAGCTGTGCTCGCCTGCTTGCGGAAGGGTTGCCAAGTCGATGCCCGGAGGCGCTCGGACGGGGAGTAGCCGGCGTTTGTCACGCCTCCGCGTGCTCCGTTTCGCCGACTTCTTGACGCGGCGTCGTAACTCGGTCGCGGGCCGAAGGCTCGACGGCCAGATGCAAAATCTCGTTAGAACACATGCCCGGAAGCGCATCGGAAGACGCGAGCAAACACTTTCCCGGAAACGCGCCGGAAGGGGGGGGGAGGGAGAGACCGGCCTCCGGCGTCGTTAGCCGCGTGCGGCGCTGGCGACAGCGCGTGCGCCGCCGGGGCCGCTGCTAGACAGAGCGGCGCCTAGCAATCACCTAATAGGCGAACTGTTCCAACGACCGGCGAACGGACGCGAAAACAATAACGAGCAAAAATAAAAAGCACGGGGTGAAGGCTCAATTTGGAAGCAGCAGCCTTTCATGTTTCAATATCGGGGAACACAAATTGCGAGGCTCGGCCGCCATAAATATTAATGGCGCGGTCGGAGTGGATTATAAGCGCGCGATCTGTTCGCGACACGCCGCGTCGCATGTCTGCCACGGCGCACGAATACATGCGTAACGCGCTCAGGTACGCGGTGCCCGCTGCTTGACATGCGGGCCGAGCCAGGGGACGCTCCGAATTAGCGCCGCTGTCCCCTCGGCGGCAGGGACACCGGCGGGGAGGCGCTCACGTCCGACGCGGGAAGGCCCGGCTGAGGCTTGGCGCCCCTGTTCGAACATTCGCGGTCAGATGTAATTGTCACGCGCCGAGCTGGTTCTGTCACAAGCCGTTTCGGGGGGCAGGCGTCCGGGTGAACGATAAATGAGGCACGTGCCGCGTCGCCTTTAATGCCTCCAATCGCGCCTAATTTCGGCTGCCGGCACGTACCACGCCTTGCGCCACGAAGGTGCAATCGGTAATGGAGCTTACGGCGGCTGCTCGAGCCCGTTTTAAAGGGTCGTTGCTACCGATTATGTGGTCGCAGGACGCCAGTGTTAACAGCTGTGTAGCGGAACGCTATGACCGGAAGATGCGAGCGCGAAAATGAACGAGACGCACGAGCCAGCGAGACAGAGGTTCTTTGAATGCCCACGCGGGCCATTACACCCTCAGATCTACGACATGCAAGACCGCGTACACGCGACGTTTTTGGGGGAAAGCAACAAAAAACGTACCCATGGCCCGACATCTTTTTTCTACTGCGCCGTGTTACTTTATTCCAAGGACCCCCCCCCCCCCCCCCCCAAAAAAAAAAGAAAAAAAAGACGAAAATGCCAATATATATATAAGGAGCGCCTTAATAATCATTCAGCGCGTCGTTCGGCAGTTTACAACCTAACATAAAGTCGGACAGACACAAACACAAGAAAAGGGAACGGATAAAGCAAGAAGGGGAACCATCGAACGAGGAGTATGCAGAACAGGAGCCGAACCGAGTAAAAGTTGTTTTGGGGGCCCATTCTGAGTTATTCATCGGGCTCGTCTGAATCCGCGGAGGGCAGTCAAATACGAGCCCGACGGCCGCATGCCGAGTGCTCGGGGCGAGACGGCCCTTCCTCGGGCAGACGCGAGCGAGGCACACGGGCAGGCCGCCGCGGGAGCCTCAGAGGGACGCCGGCAGCCTCCGCGCCCTCAGGCCCGCATGCAAACAGCGCACCGCCCACGCAAATAACCCGAGTGAATAAGGAACGAGCGCTTTGGCCGCTGTAATCCGTCCGCTTTATCACTGGCCCACGTATAAATAGAGCGCCAGTCCCAGTGTACGTGGACGGCCGCGGTACGGCCGTAAGGAGGGGGACCGAAGGAACTTACAAAAACAACAAGAAGCGGGAAAAGAGGAGCGAGCCGTAAAGAAGGCGAGATGCGGCCGCTCGGGCCATGCGAACGAGAAAACTATAAAGAAAAATGAAGGGAGCGGGAATACCAGGATCGCGATGCAAAACGTTAGGGACGAAAACAAGCGGTAGTAGGCCTAGCAACAAAAAAAAAAAAAAAAATGAAAATAGCGCTATCAACAATAACACTAATAATAACGAAAGACGGTTTATGTCGCATCTCGAAAAAAAGGAACAAAAAAAAAAAGTCATATCTACGCGCATATGCTTGCATCTTGCGCTCTTCTTTTTTTTTTTTTTTTCCTCAAAGAACGTCGCAAAAAATAAGTAGAGGCCTTGGACGTAAGCAACGTAAGTGTAGCGGCAGAAAGTGGAAGGATGGTGGGGAAAGTGGGGATGACCGGGTGGGGAAGAAGCGGGGAGCGTTCGTGCATACGGGCCGGCGCTCCCAGAGCGCGTGCTGGAGCGCCAACGCGCCAGAATGTCCCCGGGGGGGAAGAGGGGGGGGGGGGGGGGGTTTCGAGCACGACGCCAAGGGTTGTTACCTCCACGCCGCCTCCGAGGTTCGAAAGAAACCCTCCGCCAGCCCTGCGCGTGCCGTCGGAAAGGGCGCCGAGGCCAGTCGGAAGATAGGACCCAACTCGTTTTCCACCCCCCCCCCCCCCCCCCATGTTTTTTTTTTTGTTTTTGTTTTTTTTCTTAGACGAGCGTGCATAAAAACCCCGAGCGGGTTCGGCTGGCACACAGCGGAAGAGTACACGGCACTTCCCCGGCCGCTGTTTACTGCTCCGGAGTGTCATCCGCGGGGCACGCGAGCCATCAATTTTTCACCAATTTGCGTCGCTCTTTCCGGAGTTTGGGAATGGGTGCCACGCCGCGTCTGCTCCATGCCGTTTGTTTGGCCCGCGCCCACGCTTCGTTGTTGCTCCCTTTTGTGCGCTGTAGTTTGTTTGTCCCGAATTCCTCGAATGCACGTTGGGCTAAAACGCATCGCTGACGTAACCGTGTGGGAAGAAAAGCTTCCACTTCCGCGACCCTCCCCGAGGGAAAAGGACATAAACGGACGATAAACTTCGTTTTGCTGCCACCCCTGGAAACCGTGGAAGAGACGAGAAAACCTCTCGAGATTGGGAACAGGTGCAGCGTGTTAGATGAAGACAATTAAGAATTTGATCTTCAAAGAAGCTCAAGTCCGCCGGCGAGGTGGTGATACCCAATCATTATTAAAACCTGAGACAAGAGAAACACGAAACGAAATTACAATCTTTTACCCCACCCCCGAACCAAAAAGGTGTCCTACTAAGCTTTTGGCACTGAATCAATACTTCTGTTTCCCCTTTTCAATCGTCTGACTGCATGGACACAGGACGAGAGAATGGCCACATGTCCTTACTTTCATGCATCTTTAATTTCGCTTTCATTTTTTTTTTTCGGTTTTAATCGTGACTTCGAGTATCGCCCTCTTTACAAGCAACTGGGGATCGAGGCACAGACTTTTCCGCGAATTCTTATATCGCTGAACCCGTCTCAAGCTCCCTAAAGGTATTAGAGGGTGCAGAGCGTCAATCGGTAAAAAGAAAGGAGTCAGCAGAGCTCACACGGAATGCCAGAATATATGTCCGTCGCGTGGAGATGGAGGTGGCTGTACGGGCCACCGCCACCTGCAAAGAGAACGAATGCTTGTACACTGACTATACGTTTCACTCATTCATTCTCAGGCAATATCTTCCAGCTCTAGTAATCAGTCTAACTTCGTAAAACACGCACAACTGTTTTTTCGTATTTACAACACCGAAATGCCTTCTGTGCAGAATCAGGAGCATGCAATTCAATAAAGAAACAATACATCGAGTGAACACCGTAACGTCTGTATTGAGTCATGATATACTGTCCATAACAAACGACAGTGCAGATTAAAAAGTTAAGCGCTGACTTCTGGGAGGCACGGGCGTGAATTTACAAGGTGCTCTCCTCGTACGAATGACTGTGAAAATAAAACGTTCTGCGGGGATCATGCAGCTCTAATGTACGTGCACTAATCCCATTGCACACGGCTTCTCAGGTGGAGGGTTGCGAACAAATTTATTTTGTACGGAGACGTTTTATCAGTATAGCCCTTGACCGTTAGCTCGAAGCGCCATTCCTTTTCAATCGCAATCAAAACTTATTTCAAAGTAGACTTTCGAAGCTCGGTGAAAGCCGAAAAATACACAATCTGCTCTTGTCACACGCTTGCCCGTATGGGATACTCGACTGTGTATTCTTTACCTCTGACGTTCAGATTTTGTATCCGGTGTCAGTCAGGAATCAGCCCATACTTTTATTTTTAACATCTGGAAGTCTGGGACTATTGCCTGTCGAATGCGCCATAAGGGTACTATAATCTGCGACCATTTTGAAACCTGTTGGCGATGGATATTTAGTGCGCAATTTGGCAAATGTATCGCGGACTTCATTAGTAACTTTGGATTGTGGTTACGTTTATTTCTTTGTGGTTTGTTTCGTGCGTATCGATCATGATATACACTAGATAAAAATATAACTTTCCCCGTCCTATCTTTCTTTCGCGACTCTTGGGGTAAAGGCTATTGTATTTAATGCAAATTTGCTTCTGACTCCATAACCAAATATGGTAGTTGACGGCTGGGTTTTTACAATATATAGGACTGTCCTATTATGAAAAAGAAATAATGATTTGACATCCTTGTAATCAGAAGACAATTTTTAAGACGGCAGTAAACGAGTAACAGGGATACAACGTATCCATTAAAACGTGGCAGATCAGACTCCACGAAGTCCGATGTTGTGTGAGTGGTCATTTCAACCGACGTGGATCTAACGGCCAGACAGTCAACCTGTTTAAACTTTATTAGTGTAAAAATAATCGTCAGCCAGCTAAAACTTTTACTGATGCCACAAAATATCATTGAAGGTGTTTATTGGTGCTGAACACAATTTTATTTTCGTCGCGCCGCAACGAAACAGAGGCGTAAGAAATGTAAGAAGCCGTTTAGACCAACAAAACCGTTAAAGAACGCAAAGTCCGCCTTCCCATTCGTCCTCCGTCGAAGCGAAAGGAGACCCAGCCAAGTCCATCAGTCCTCGTCCATTTTCGCCTCTGCATAGTCTCGAACGCTCCACACACGCCCGCACACACGCGCATACAAAAACGCACGCACGCCGAGCCCGACCGAGAGGGCCCAACTGGCCAAGGGGATGCCCCCCCTCTCCAACAAGGCGCGCCCGTAGCTCGGGTCCCCTCCGTTGCCTGGAACAACCCTCCCTCCCCCGTCGGCAGAACTCCGGTCCGCTTGAATGCAGGACATGGAGCCGTGAGTCATGAAATGACCGACGGACTCCCTGGGAACACGGCGGCCCCGCCGCCGGCTCAGCTGGGGAGGGGGGAGCCGGCCGCGTCCATTGCGCCCACCCGAGGGCAACGGACAGCGCTTCCACGGAGGGGGCACCCGAGGCAGGGGAGGTGTCCAGGCGCCGTTAATCACGACGGGGCATCGAGCGAGAGGGACGCCAGTGGGATTCGGAGGCAAGGTGAAGGTCGACTCGGAAGGAGCGTGCCCGCGCATCGGGGCAAAGCCGGACGAAGGGAAGGCAGTGCACCGTGGGGAAGGTGGAATCCAGAACCAGCGAGAGGCAAACATGCAGGCAAAGAGTTAGTAGGTAGTTTTAGAATAGGGGGTCCCAACGCTTTGGGTCCCTCGAGCAGCTCGGGGCGTCGCACTGCGCAAGTGCGGAAGCTGTGGGCATACGCAGTGCGACACTCCAAGCTGTTTGGGGACCCTTTTATACATTGGGGCTCCCTGCTCTAGAACTCGCTATTGACTCGACGTCGAAGGTGAGCTCTTCTCGTTTCAGGGGTATACCTTAACTCTCGAAAGTTGCAGAGCCTGAACCACTGTTTTGAACGAAAGGTGTATGAATGAGGCATTGAGTAGAACTTGTGCTTAACAACCTGACGGCAGCACCGATTCGAAACTAAACCGAAAAGGTAGACGAGACCGGAATAGGACGAGGAAAAGTGTAAATATCGCGCAGGAAAATGCGATGGAATAAAGGTATGCGCAGAGAGAGTTGTGGATAACGGGTCCAAATAAACCATGCGCGGTGACTGAAATCTTCATTCAAAGTACTGTGTTGTAATAACTTCCTCAAGAGTTTTTTTTTTTTTTTTTTTTTTTTTTATCGTTATATTCGTACGTATTCCCAAATTTCTGCCTTGTTTTTTTACTACTGTTATAAGTACTCCATTGAAATCGTTTCTATTGTTTCCGTCTTCTTTATGTTTGTGACGGTCATCATTTTTAAGAGAAGGGCGAGAACCCGTCAAGCTGTTAGGTGATGGTTTTTGTCATCGATCTTCCTCGATCACTTATATGAATAAATATAAATAATAATAAGATTACTGACATTTTTTGTTGTTGTTTTGTACTCGCCGAAACGGGACTATACTTCAGTGTGACAAGGATGGCTTATGTGCCTGCGTTTACCCGGTTTTGTATTCTTTGTTTTACCAAGGTGTTGTCGTCAAGATTTTATTTTCTAATTTGTAGTTTACGTAATAATTTTCCTCGACAACAATCGCGAACCAGCTAGCTTTTCCAATACAGAACAATATTTGTCTGCCCTTTTCCCTTTCACTGCAATTGGGTGAAAACACCGCCATCCCCCCAGCTATGAGCAACTCCAAACAATTAACCACCGTGCATTTAACAATTACACCCGCTCTTCACAAGCCGCCTTCGTCAGACCACGAATCGTTCCAGCGAAAACCGGCCTTCGCCCTTCGCGTCGAGTGGATCGTTGCTGGCTACGAGAAAAAGAAGCGGCGCACAATGGGTACGAAGAGGTGCGACGATGCTCGGAGCCGGGTGCAATCGTCCAGCTTAGCGGTGCCGACTTTACTCGCCGTTAAACGTCGATGGCCGTCTTCATCCCTTTCGTCGGACCTTATCTAAGTGCCGCGAGAGGAGAAAGGAAGTCGTCAAAGGGAGAACAAGGGAGCGGCACTTTTGAGCGCCGGCAGGGCTCGAGCCCCCGGTCCGCTCCGTCGGCTCCTGCGAGGGGAAGGGCAGAGGCGACGGAGGCCGCAGTCCTCACTCTTTACGACCGCTCCGAGAGACCGCAATGGAGCAGCGGCCCCGCTAAACGGCCGCGCCGATCCCGCGCTTTTACGACGCGCGAGCACTGACCATCCTCTCGAGATGGGAACACGTCGGGGAGCGGACGCCGGGGCCCCAGCGTGCAGAGGCCCGTCGAAGGGACTCGTGGCAGCAGCGACGGCGGGTTCTCCGACTCGAATCGGTCCGAGGTACGACCTTGGGGAACGAGATGTGAGCAACCAACTTGCTCGCCGGCCGATCACCCGAAGCCGCGCTCACAGTGCTTACACGTCGCACAAAAGACAGTATGGAGACATTATCGAAGGCGTGTTCGTCGCTTGCATGGCGGCGCTGTCGCATTGGTCGTCAGAAAGTTGTCTGCGGACGTATTGCAAGCATACATACGCACGAAGTAAACATGTTTCAAACATGTTTGAGGCGTGTCCAACGATCATCTTGTCATAATGTTGCTAGAAGCTATAGCTTTAGATGCTAGCAATTAAAAAGAAAAAAAAAACAGAAAAACGTTGTTATAAGTTATTTTAAAGTAAATAAGAAGCTCCATAATCATTGCTGAGGACAACAACGCGATGCAGAAATGAATTTGACCCAATTGCGTGACATAGTGGAAAAATCCCTAATTCTTTCTAGACGTCGCTGAAAACACGAGCAAATAAAGCGAGCGCTGGATGAAATCTCCGCGTTTTCCAGGAGAAGGCGTTGCGTTTCTTTATCTGACGTTATGGGGCACAATCTGTGTCTGAGCTGTGCACTCTAACAAATGCCTGCGCGTCTACTTACCCACAAAACACTTGGAAGAGCCATTATCTGTGATCGACGAAATCAGCTCCGCGAATGATGAGGCGGAACATACGTTTAGGCCTCAAAATTAAGTGAGCGCTGTTGCATTACGCAATGCAAGCATGACGCTTTGCATTGCGCAATGCCAGAGCGCAGGCTTCTTTTTTAGCTCTAAACTGATGTTCGCTGAGCTGATTTCGTAGACCGAAGAGATTGGCTCTTTGAGTGCTATGCGGGTAAGTAGACGCACATGCATTTCTTAGAGTGTACAGTTGCTTTACGTTTTGCCACGCCGCTCCTGGACGCCGTGTTATTTTAACGGTAATAGCAAATCGCAGCACTGCTTGCAGTATACGTCGCCCCAAGAAGCGCGCGAAGGACCAATTACGCCGTCGCTCCAGCGTGGAGCGAGAGAGTGGAGCGACGCGTTCTGAAACGCTTTTACGAGACGCGGCCATTTGAAACCGTGAGTGCTCTTCTAGCGCCCCGGAAAGAAAAACAGGGCGCGACGGGACACTTAAAAACGCGGAGGAGCCGACGAATAATCAAACACATATAGGAACAAAGTCAGCGTGAGACCAACAAAAGATAAAAAAAGAAGGCGAAAGAGAGGAGAGCAGCGACGGCTCCAAAGCCTCCCTCGAGCGAGCAAGGCCGGCAGCGCATGGCCTCTCCCTTTTTTTCGCATTACTTAATATTTCAAACGGGGGCCAGCCTGTACAAACGTTGACGTGGACAGGCCC